CAGCACCAGCTGAGTGGATGGAAGCTGTGACCCTTCCATTTCCAGATTCCTTCACTTTACAGAGAGCTTCATCTGCTCCTGAATTACTCAGGAATACTGCAAACAATGGCTGTCCATCTTTGCAGCATGAAACCGTTTCCCTCAGGAAACACACTGTTAGTACTTGCTATATTACTGCTTTACTATTTACTACTACTGTTACTGTGGGCACTTGTACCGTGGAAGGCAGCCTTGGCAGCGGGGCGTGGGCCAGGCTCCAGGGGAGTCGGTGAAGTTTCCTCCACCAGTGCTACGTTACAGACCTTTGGAAAGCAGCGCGTGTTTGTCCACACATGCAGACAGACTAAGACACTCTTCAGGTCTGTCTAGCCAATGTCAACAGATGTGTTCCAAGCTTAAGGCACGCGCAGTCCAAAAGGGTTTCCACCACCAAAATGCCACGTGTTTTGTTCCAGCTGAGCTGTTTCCACAGCAGATCACACTGGAGGAGGAAACAGGGCAGTTTCAGCAGGCATCTCTCTTTTGCACTGCCACATGAGGCCCTATCCTGCAGTCTATTATGAGTGTTCAGTTCCCTTGAAATTGCCTCCTGAAAGCAAGCAAGTCTATCTTGATTCCCCCCTAAGTTACAAAGAACTTGTGTAAGATATTCAACAACATAACAAATCAGTTCCATGTATCATTAAAAATACTCTTTCTGGGTACAAACCTTAGCCCTAGACCCCTCTCTGCCTCTCTTTTGTTTTTAATGATTGTCATATCCTTCTCCTGTAGCATCTTTTAGCAGTTAGTTCAGATTTTTTTTTTCTTGCTGAATCTGGGGCATTGAGACAACTCCAATATCCCACAGGCAGATCATGGAACGCTTGCATAACTCACGCTTTAAATTCCTCTAGCCCTAAAACCCTATTTAGTCCAATTTTATACTGACTACATGTTGGTAGTATTCAAGTTTATGTTCCAGTGATTTAGAAGGCATGATACATCCGGATTCAAATTGGTTGTATTGATTGTTTAATTGAGGACAAGGACGCGAGTCTAACTTTAAGCCCCCAAACTGGCAGATCATGGTAATACTGCAAGGATGGTGGTAATTCATCAGTTTTATTAGTTTCATAGAACAAGCATCTCTGCTTTTAATTCTGCAGGCTAAAAATAGCCCGATGAGTCTAATTTTTTAGGTAAACAGTTTTTCTAGTAAAGTAAATAGTGCTTTTAGCAAAGATTTGATTAATTGGAAATAAATGTAATATTCTGTTGCCAAGAGCTGATCTTAATCATGAAATAAATATCCCTACATAGGAAGTTGTGACTTAGTTTAGGGAAGCAACCTACACACTAGAGAATGATTTGCCCCAAGGCAGCTTGCTCTAGGACAGCGTTGGTTACAACACAACCTGATTTCCAGTCCATGTGCACTGCGCGCCGCACTGCCTGGGTACAGCGCAATTCATGTTGAACGGAACTGAAAACGAGTGTTCTGTCTGCGAGCTACTTCAGTTTGCCCTTCTATAACGTGGGCAGTTTAACATGGCACTTACATGGCCTCATTTGTACATAAGGCACTATCTGTTATTACCCACCACGGACGTCACAGGGAATGTTAGTAGCTAATATTTCTTAGCTGCTCTGAGACTCGCCAGTCAGTGGTGCTTTACATGTCCTAAATAAACCTCGGGGCGCCATTAGAGTGGGGTGCCCCCCTGTGTCCTGCTGAGCAAAACGGTACCACTCCAAGAGAGGGGACTTAGGAAAGGATGACATACGTGACCCGAACTGGGGCACACGGAGAGCACGAGAGGGCTGCTGACAAATATGCCTTTCTTATTTTTACTAACAAATAATACCAGTACAAGTGTATATAGCAAGTGTTTAACGGCAAGAGAGCGATGGGAGTTTGGAGCCTTTTACGTTGGCTCTAATGCTTCCTGCTAATGCATTTCCTGTGCAGGTGTGTAGTTACACACCTTGTCGCCTTCCCTTACCGAAAGGCACGGGCCAGTCCCTGCTACGCCGGCACGCCGTATTTGCTGTTATGTGAATGACGGCACAGCGCTCCTGACCTTCCGATTAATTAGCACTTTCAGTGTGTTTTCCAACATCCTGATTTCAGCTCCATCTTCTGTGAACATCATATTATCCACAAAAGATGCCTTATTATGGGGGAGGCTTTGTTTGCATTTGACATCTCTTGGTATGCTTTAAAAAAAAGAACAAAACAAAAACAAAAAAAACCCCAAAAAACTAATCCAAGTAAAACTGCCGCTGCAGAAATTGCAGAACTCTGAATATCAAGCATATATCCAATACATTCACAAACTCAAGCCTTAGGGATCTAACTCAGAGTTCGGCTTCCAAGAAGCCTCCTGCTCAGGCCGGGCCGTTGGCCCTTGAGTTGAAGTCACCTCCCACTCAAACTCTGCAGTCCCTACGGAGCACTTGCTGGGTGCCCTGGGGCACAGGGGAGGCCCAGCCGGCCCTGCTGCTTCCTGCTCTGTCCCACAGCCCCTCTCACCTGGCATGGCTGCTAAACAAAAAAACTAACACTACATTGGGCAAATTCCCACACAAACATAACAGATATGCATATATGGGTCTATGTTTATAAGTATTTATTCAATACCTAATTTTATTTCATTTGCTTCATTATATTTCCTTACTTGAAAGCAATTTGAGGAAATGTTCTAGTCGAAACTGTTTGATCTAGACTACCAGAAGGGAAAACACAAAAAATGAAGCTGTAAGCTAGAAGAAAAATCACAACAGGTCCTTGCAACCACCTTTGAACAATTTCTCAAAGGTGGAAGAGAAGGCATGTTTTGAAAAGAAAAATATATTTTTGTTAATTGCAGTAAAATCTGTCCCGGATAACTCAAAAAGAAATTATTTTTAAATTTTGAAGTTCCACAATTTCCAGAAAGAGCTAAAAAGAGCTAAGAAAACAACTCACCGTAACATAGTGCACTTTCTGACTTGCTGCAGTCAGGTCTAGAAGAGCAGATTTTACTTTGAGTTATCATTCTAGGCCTCAGCTAAAATGCCGGACCACCCAGCTGCCTTCCAAGTGAAAACTGAATGCAAATACCAGAATAATTAACAGTCAAATAATTTGCCTAAATTCATATGAATTCATGCCCTGGTGACTATGTTTAAACAAGTGTGAGAAAGCTATGAACAGAAGCAGAGCTTTTGTAATGAAGGGGAAATTGCAGTATTAATTGCTTCATCTAAGACACCCTGGGACTCTCTTGTTGGCTATCTTCTGCAAGTGTCTTGTGATGTCTTGTTTTTGGGTAAGTGGTACCACACTTGGATAGAAACCTCCTTGTTGCCCTTGCTTAACATGAGCTTGGCTGTCAGCAGTGCTTGACTTGCACGGTTTGGGGTTTTGTTTAAAGCTCCAGAAACACTTTACTGCTTCTACAGAATTTCTTTGGATACATTCATTTCAGAAAAGCAACGTAAAGGCACATCAAGCTGTGTCGTGCCTTTCTGCTTTGTCTTTAACGGGATCTCTTAGTTCTCCTGCTCTCTCTCTCTGCATCTCTTGCACAGTTATAATCCAGATGGGTGGCAGCTAGAATTACTACAGTTACTCCATGCATGTATGCAGCACCCCTTCTATTTAATTATATGTAGTTGCTAGGAGGGAGGATCCTTACAAGAGAAGTCTGCAAAAAAGCCCATGGTCTGCATCCTTGCACCTGTGTTTGACCTATAGAATCCAGCTCCTTTTATGCCAGTCAAGGGCAGGTGTCTACGGAGACTTGCTATAGTAACACAAGTAACACCATAGGTAAAGAGCCCTCCACAAATACTGTTAAAACATCTGCATCAAATTGAATGTACAAAGGTAACATGAAATTCAGGCCTAATGTCTTTTGATAGCACTATAATCTCTTAGGTTAATAAGAAAGCAGTACTTGTCCCTCAAACATATATGTTTAAAAGAAGAAAAAAGACTTAAAGCATAAGCACTTCTATCTACTCCAAACAATTTGCTTTGGATCATCTTTTAACATTCTCTGTTATGTTGCTTCAGGGATGCCAGAATTTATTAGAAATATTCAGGCAGGAAGCAAAAAGAACAGAAAAAAAAATAAAAACCACAACTCCTTTCCTCCTACCTACACATAAAAAGGCTTAAACCATCTCCTAACAAAGACAACTTGCAAGCAAAACCCCTCTAAGCTCTGTGAAACGTGTACACCTACCTACCTTTGAAAAATTTCCTGCTCCTTTCCACATCCATACATAGCCATATATACAACAGGCTACTATAAAAATACTAGTGTTAATGTGCCTCCAGACAAGGGGAGTTCTGCCTCAGCTGCCATAGGGCAATGTGAGTATCTGGGTCAGAGAGCCAGCCCTACCACCCAGGTACGTGGTACCCTACGGTAGCCTCTGCTGAGTGAGTCAGTTTATGGACTCCTTCGTGGCCACGCAGACCGCGATTTTGTAGTACACAACCCGCTCACATGGAAAGCCTTTGTAATTAAGAAATAACCTCAAGACAAAGCATTTAGCAAAGACACTAACTTTAACAGTAGCATTTGCAGAGTTTCCTCAATATTTCAAAGACTTCGGAGAAGTCCAAACCTTTCGGACTTTTGGAGGTCCAAAAGGGACCTTTGGAGGTCCAACAAGAGTGCGGTATACTCAGTGATTATCCAAAATCAACAAAAGGGGTATTGATATCAAGTTCACTACTAGATTTGTTTCACACCTGGCTATACCAAAAACAGTCAAAATTCACCTAGACCCACTTCTGGAAGAATGGTATTCCCTGATACCCCCAGGGAAGCCATTTTTTCCTCTTGATGCACAGAGATTCCAAGAACGTAAGAAAGGCACCTTATAGATATGGAACCCTGGTTATTGCCAATAAAACCACCTTTATCTGCACTGCACCGCGGTACTGTGCTGTACTGTACATACTGTACTGTGTTGTTTGCTTCAGCCACCACTAAGGGCTTCTCTCTTTCTTCCCCACTCAGGGCCGATGCATTAACTTCACCAGAGTTCAATCTCAGTAAAGAAGGAGAAGAGGATCCCAGGAGAACCTGCAGCCACATTGCCACTTCTCAAGCAGCCAAAGACGCCCGAGCACGTCCGCGAATTGCTTGGATCATCGTCAAGCCTGAGCTTAGAAGGTTTCTCCGTTCCCCTCTTGCAGGAGGCCGCGGGGCTGTCCCCAGCTCTTGCCTCTTCCCACGTTACGTTAACGCCCTGTGATTCGCAGCAGTGACAACAAGGGCAGCATTGACTTGCATGCCGACGCTTTTGTAGAACACGCAGCACGCGCGCGCGCGCGAGGAAGGATGCAGACAACCAAAGATGCTAATTTTTTAATTTTTTTATGAATTTTTAAGGACTACAGATTCTCAGGACGCAATGTGCTTTCAGCGGAGATGCAGAGTTTCTCAGATGCAAAGACGGCACGTGTTATTTAAATAGGCCTATTTAAATAGTCCCTATATAAAGGGACTATTAGCCATAGGCGAAGGATAAAAATTCCCACCAGGCTAAGCAAATGCAAGAGTTCACTGCCTTACAGCGATGTCAGATCACAAAATCCTTCTGAGTCTCCCATCGCATCGTGCCTTACGGGAACCTTCTGACTGGAAATCTTGTCATTCTAACACTGAAAAGTGCACACGCATGACAAAATGTAGACAGGGTGCCTCAAGGTATTGGTAGCAAGCAAGACTTTGCCCTTTAGTTTTTGAAGACACCTTTCTTTCATTATGCACCCGGGACAGGAAGAAAATTAATAGAGCGTTATTCCACAGGAAGACAGCCTGTAACCAGAGATCTTGAGCGGAGTTTGAGGGACTGATGCTTCAAGACCTTGACACTGTGGCTGGTGGTTTTTTCCCCTTTCCTGCATTCAAAGTTCAGTAGCGCATAAAACATCATCATCTATAAACATACCTAGCAGTAGTAGGCTTATGTATTATTTTTTTTAGATTAAAAAAAGCAGTAGCCACTAAGCTGGTATCTCAGGGTTTTTTTCCCCCCTAAATCTCCAAGGGCTCTTCAGCGTCACAAGCCAGCAACTCTCTTTGCATGAGAATTTCAAAGTTTAATTAATATAATTAAAGGCAACAGCAAGCAGCAGCCTGTGAAGATTTTGCTCATCTTTTTTATGCCTTTTGACATTGAATGACCTATTACTGTATGTGCATTACTCGGTTTTCGAGGGGGCACTGAGCATTGGTTGAGATTCAGCAATGGAAAAAGACCTCCTTCCATCAATTTAGAAATTAGATTTACGGGAGTGCCGGCCATCACAAAACATTGACAATGTATGTATTATAATTTTTTAGAAAAACCAGTGTCGTGTCACGTCGACGATGCCAAATTATGTTAGCGTGAGCGGAAACACTGTGGGGGAGGAAGGAGGGAGCAGCTGAAGAAAAAGGCTCAAATGATCCAGTCACTTTCGATACTGTACTTCAGATGCAAAATGGATATTCGAGTCGAAACCTGACAAAGCGCGCCCGCTTTGATGGGAACTGGTATAGACAATGACCAGTGGCTGGGTCAGTGGGATGTCTCTCTGCGAGCAGGGAGGCTTATCAAATGACACTAAAAATAAGTTCAACAACCATCACATTTGAGGGGAAAAGGCGAACATTTCACATTTGGTGGGCACAAATGTGTGCAAGATGGAAAGAGCAATGTGGAGCGTCCTGGTCTAATTATCTCCTTTGTGCTCTTCATTGAAATCGCAAGGGACATAAATAATTCTTTTGGTCGATGTCCAAATTCGTGGCACTGCCCAAAGAAGCCTTTACATATATCTACTCGCTTACATCTTTTGCTTGAGTTTATTTATGTCACTGGTAGCCTCGTCAACAACCCTGTGTGCACATTAGACTACAAATAAAACAATTACCTAAGTTGCTGTGATGTTTTCATCTTCATCCTTCCCCCTTGTATCTTCTTCACACGTTAAACGTTAATTTTTGCAGCTACGCAGTCTCCCTCGCTACCAGCTCTGCCCCAGAGAGCACCTTCTCGTGGCCTCACGTGGCATGCCAGGGCAGCATGTCACTGCCTAACTCGGGGGCTTCCCACTCTTCCACAATTATTCCAAACACATCAGACACGCTGGTACGTACAATATGGAGCATTAGGAATGGAAATAGAACAACAAAGTGCCCAAAGAGATCGCTGTTGCATGCAGCCTCATTCCCACTTAGATACCATTGGCCTTCGGTTTGGAGTGCTTTGCAGCACGTGTGTGCTAAAGGCTGATTTTATTCGTGCAGACCAACTACCAGCACGGCTTTCAGTCATTTCAAGCCTTTGATAAAACCTTGGGGTATTGCCTGGCTTAGCTCAAGGTGGAGACCCAAACACTAAGACCCTTTGTGACTTGGGTCACGAAGACCCAATTGCTCCTGTAGCGCTCCTCGGGATACCGGATGAGGACCAGCAAAAATACTACACTCCTCAGACACCACATTAAAATCAGCTCTCTTTCCTTATTTTTCCTCCCTTTTTAATGTAAAGCCGCACTTCCTTCTGCAAAATTGTCAGTTTGTATTTGAAGCAGCGGCTTGCATAACATAGAAAAAACACGCAGATGCAGAGAAGGTTTTTCCCTCCCATATATCTGCCATCTCTCAAAGAATATTTGTAACAAGTATAACCACAGAAATACAAATTCCCTAATAATCCTTTGCTCTCTATAGCTGTCTATCCATATTCATTGAAAACACTGTGAAATGTGCAATTTTTCATGGAGTGGCTGATACCAAGCAAAAACGGATTTCAGGCATCTACACGGATTTCCACTTCTAATTGCCACGATATTACAGTATGTTACACTCTTCACTTAGTGGAAGGTAACACCCTAAGATTTTCATTAACGTACAATGTGGAATATCTGTCACAAATTATTTAGGGGGCAAGAGGCATAGGGTAATAATAGTTTAAAATCCCATGATTCAGAATGACACAAATTAAGAATTATTTGGCACAAGAGCTTAAAATACTTGAGAATAATAGAATCAGTAGGTTTATATAGCATGACTCTTGCACAATTTAAAACTGTACATGTCTCCTTCTGTTAAGACCATACATGATATGTTTTTTGTATCTGTTATACTCTGGGTAAGAAAAGCAGTAGTGTCTTGAAAAAACAAATGAATAAGAAGAGAGATCTAGAAAATTTCCTCTGTAGCAGTATAGAAAAAAACCCAAAAAACCTCATAGTTTTGAAATGGCTCTTTAAGAAGATACTTGCTGTTATTTCAGGATCTTATTTCTGAGCCTAAAAAAGTCCAAATACAGATGAGAGCATATCTCTAGGCATCAGGTACTGTGATCCTTTACATGTTAGCTGGATCAAAGTCACTTGTTCAGAAGAGAAATCTCAGAAAATTTTAGGAGAAAGTGTGTAAATCCAGGGTTTCCTTGCCAAGAAGAAACCTCCTTTCCCAGGAACTAAACTGCTCTGCCTGACTTTCCCTTCTGTGTCAAATGAGTGGTTAGTCGCAAGTAAGCAGAGCACAAGACTGTCCTTCTAAGGCGATCACTAAAAATATATCCCATTTTCCATGTAAGTCACACTACGGTTTGGAGGCTTTCATCAGTCCTTGCATGCTTGGGTTTCTAAAGAGCACAGGGCATATAAAATATGTACTTTTTCGTCAAAGACAGAACCAACTTGGTTATTTTATATTGTAAACAGCAAAGTTAGCATAGAGCAAAGAAAAGAACGAGCCTAAAAAAAACCCCTGCTGCCTGGCAATTTTAAAATTTAAAAAAAATGGCTGGAGAGAGGAAAATAAGAGTAATTTATCTGGAGCTGTATATTATTCGACCGATCCATAAGTGCCTGGTATTGCACAGGCACTGCAGCACCCCTGCTCTCCACGCAGCAGAATGAGCAGCTCTGCCTCGGCGCTCGGGAGCGGCGCGCACTCCGCTCGCAGACCCTTCGCGCTCGCAGCCTGCCGGGGACGCGCAACACGAGGCTGGCTCGTTACGGGCTCCCCCAAATGAAGCCTCACTGCATTCCCACACCGATGCTACCAGCTACAGGGCACCCTGCTGCAGACACGGTGCAAGGGAGCCCAGAAGACCTGAGGTGCTGGGAGAACGCAAAGCTGCCAGGCGCTGCAGGGCTCGGGCTCACACAAATGGCGCTGGAATCCCCTTACCCTGCTGAGATTTCGCAGAGCTCCTTTCGCTTGCCCATCATGGCAGAGCAAAATCTACCTCGTCGCATACAAGAACATCACCAAGAGGAAAAATACACCGGTGAAATACCTTTTTTTCTTTTTTTTTTCCCTAATGAACAATGTGCAGAACATGCAGAAACATTGTGAGCTGGTCCTTGAGGAGCTTCAGTTGTGACTGAGAGGAAATGGGATTTATATCAATGGGAAAGGGCATCGTGAGCAACAGAACTTCCCAAATCCGACAAGGCTGGTTTTGTTTTACAGATTTTGATAATAGGAGGATCTAATTCACTGAAGATAACACAAAACAAAACGGAAATGAATTTTTTAAGTGTTCATCTTCAGTCAGTTTTTAATTTAACTAGACCTACCGCTTTCACCAGACATTAATCTGTTGGGCTTAAATAGCATGAGACAGGTCGGGCTGATCTCTGTAAGGTGAAAGGTAAGGGAATTTTCTCAAGTGCCACAACGCAGGTTCATTCCAAGCTACAAATGCAGCATGAAAACCCAGCCAGCCTGCTACAGATTCATGCTGCTATTTTTCCTCCAGGAAATCTCTGGGCTGCGTTCCTCCTCATCTACCTAGTTTAGGTGAGGTCACGCTGCTGAAGCCTTGCAATGGGCCAGGGCTGCCGATGCGATCCTCACTGTTCGGGGTCTTTCAGAGCAGGAGGCAGCGCTGGGTTTAACCGGCTTGGCCAACGGCACCTCGTGCGAGTCACCCACACGCACGGCCCTTCCTAGAGATCTCGAGAGGCCACAAACACCCCGTTCTCCAGTCTCCTCGGGATTAGCAGTGACACCAGGCTGCGCCGCCCACCGCTCTCGCTTCTAAGCACGTCCTTACGGTGCAAATCACGTTGACGTATTTAAAAATAAATAAATTAAAAAAAAAGGTTAAAGTCCCAAGCAGGGTAGATGCCCCCTTTGGTACTTCTGCCCTCAATGCAGGAAAGAACTAAAGGAGTTTGCTTGCTGCTGTTTTAGCTCAAACCTATCTTCCAGCTGGGGGAGAATTTCCTCTCTTCTTTGGGCCTGTATTTCATGGCAATCAGGGAGGTTAAAGGAACAGAGCGCTATCAATGAGGTCTTTCCAGGTGGGCAAAGCCTGCATTTTATTCAGCAATTACTGACTGCTGCCTCTCGACTAAAATAACACTGGCCTTCTGCAGAACAGTTTTCTTTTTTTCTAGCTCATTGGGAAGCAGTGAAGGTGCCGTCACCATCTGCCTTTAGATTTTAGCTCGCTCAAACTTCTCACTCGTGAGAGAAGCCTCTGAAGAGAAATTTGGAGACTGAAGGTGACAGTGTAGGGAGGAGAGAGGGCAGATTCCAACACCTCCTGCTCGTGCCTCTCACTTGCTGCAGGATGTGTCCCATCTCCCATCAAGCTTTAAGGATGCCCTGGAATGTTTTGCTAGGGAAGAAAAACTGACACAGAAGTCGTGGTCCTGAGAACGGCCAATGCCTGCGGTCGAGGCAGGTAAATTGCCAAAGATGCTGAGAGTGTGAGGTCCTATTCAGACCTAGCCACTGAGTACTGCATTTGCACATATCATCTGAGTGAGGTTCATAGGCAAGACTTATGTGGGTCCTGTGGCCCAAGCTCCTGAGGATGCCTTATCCCATTCACATGCACATGTCATTGATTTATAGGCTAAAAGCCCACTCACATCACCGGGATTTAAGCATGTGTATACAGTTAAGGATTCATTTCTTTTCCTCTCTCCGTAGTGGCAAGCACGTGCCTGTATTTTGGGAGCAAATTCAGAGGAACAAATCTTGGCAAAGGCCTGCTGACTCTTCTCCAAGCTATGGCCCCTGGCTTGGAAAGCCTACCAAGGCCCAGAGGATCTAGCAAGAGAAAATAAAAAGTGGTGGGAGAAGGGATATAACATTAACAGTATCTTGATTTAAATATACAATAACCTGATTGAGATGAGGGAATAAATTACAGGGTAACTTTCTGTAGAAGCTACAACTAAGTGTTTAAAGATATCAATACTTCCTTTCATGAAAGAAGACCAGCCAGAGCTGTCTCCAATGGTCTTGTCAGAGCGAGAGGGTAAGATTTGCCCTTGTCTTCAGGTGTAAGAAAAGGATCCAACTCTAGGAGCTGACTTTGAAAGTGGCACCATTAAAATGACAGGAGGCAGATGTCCAAGTGATGTAGAAAAAATATACCAAGAGAAGAAAAGCTAAAGCAGGTAGAAATGTACTTATCCAGAACTTAGGAGCTTAGGCAAGTGAAGTAAATGTTACATTTACTAATGAGTATCTCCCAAATATCTCTTGTGCTGTTATAAAATTATTTTATGTCAAAATTCCTAGTAAGAGCCTTATTAGACCTGGCATGTACTATTTTATTTCAAAAATCTGTTTTGCATTGGCTCAATTAAAATTGTTATATATTTTTGGGTCTTATGTAGGTGCCATCTGTTTAACAGTACAAATGGGCCCTGTGATGCACTTGCAAATTTTCTGCTGCAATAATTTTTTTAATATAATGAGGGACTTCAGATATGAGAAAGTGCCTATAGTTAGTGGGTTTTTTTTTTTTTTTGGCAGTAAACTTGCAATGATTCTTACTGTGTTATAGGGATGGCTCCGTATCCTATGGAAAAGCAAACAGTTGATCTACATGTTTGCACCAAAGCCATATTATTTAATTCACACTTATTTTTTCATTTGCTT